AATAACATACACATACACGCAACGTATATACACACGAACGCGCTCGCACACACACACACACACACACACACACACACACACACACACACACACACATGTAATATATATATATAAGTACTATTAAGTACACATACATTCATACATACATACATACACATACATACACATATACACACATATGCACATAAACAGACGCACTTACACATATATAATGAGAGTATATATATATATATATATATATATATATACACACACATATATATATATATGTGTGTGTGTGTGTGTGTGTGTGTGTGCGTATGTGTGTGGGTGTGTATGTGAATGTGTGTGTGTATACACCTGTTTTAGCATATGTATATTCAGGCATTCACATTTTCATGTTCACAAGGCACGCAGCAGAAGAAGAGGAAGAAGAAGAGATGTACAGTTCAGACACTCAAAGAAATTTATTTGTATTGATGGTCTGGATGGCAAGCAGCACTTGAACATCAACAGACTAATTGAATATGTTCAACAAAATATAAACAAGCGGTTAATGAGATGATGTGGTTGGTGTGCTTCTTCTTCGTTCGTTCGTTCGTTCGTTTGTGTGTTTGTTTGTTTTTGTTGGTTCGTTTGCTCAATTGTTTTTGTTTGTTTGCTTGCTTTCGATTGTTTGCTTGTTTGTTTTCCTTGTTTGTGTGGAGTGGTTCTGATTTCGTGCAGTCATCTCTGTTCTTTAATTTTTATTATTGCTGTTGTTGTGGTGGTGGAGTTGATGTGTTGGTGGTGGAGTTGATGTGTTGGTGGTGGAGTTGATGTGGTGGTGGTAGAGTTGATGTGGTGGTGGTAGAGTTGATGTGGTGGTGGAGTTGATGTGGTGGTGGTGGAGTTGATGTTTTTTTTATGAAATTTTTCCAAATACCTCTAATAAATTACTTGTTCAGTCGTTGTTCCAGTTTCCAAGTCAGCGATGCAAATTATTTTTACTATTTCATTTAATTTTCATCACACTCGCATAATTCTTTTATTAGTTTTGTAGTTTGTAGTTTGGAAAAGACAGCATTCGAACCAGGTTTGCACCTCATTGTTCTGCGGGATGTGCACAAAGCATGACATTACTGAGTTTGTTCTTTTTGTTTGTTTGTTTGTTCTGTTTGTTTGTTTGTTCTGTTTGTTCTTTTTGTTTGTTTGTTCTGTTTGTTTGTTTGCTATGTTTGTTTGTTTGCTATGTTTGTTTGTTTGCTGTTTGTTTGTTCTGTTTGTTTGTTTGCTATGTTTGTTTGCTGTTTGTTCTGTTTGTTTGTTCTGTTTGTTTGTTTGTTTTCTATGTTTGTTCTTTTTGTTTGTTTGTTTGTTCTGTTTGTTTGTTTGTTCTGTTTGTTTGTCTGCTATGTTTGTTTGTTCTGTTGGTTTGCTAAGTTTATTTGTTGTTTGTTTATTTTAATTGTGAGTCGCATAACCTTGTAATGAAATAGTCTGGCTGTACATTTTGAATTGCCGCTAACAAAATAATTTTGTTCAACCTTCTTCGTTCCCATTTTTGTTTGCATGGACATAAATTTTAAAACTTTTTTTTATTGTTCCATTGAAAAAAGAGAGTGTCAGTCACAAACATGGCAGCAGTGAAGGACTGTTGGTGAATACATGCATGCAGGCACGGCGAATGCATGCCTCTCTTTCTGCGTGCATGACGGGTTGCTGCAACTAACGCTATGGTTGTCTGTTGAAGGCAAAAGCATTTTTCGACTGAATAACTTTTTATTTTATTAAAATTTAAAAAAATCATAAATAACAATTTGTTACAATTTAGAAACCATATCAGCTACAAGGCAATAGAAAAAAGAAATATCAAATGAAACTCAATTGCACCTACATAAACATACACACATGTTGTGTATTTTTGTTCATGTTTATCTGGATATATGTGTGAATGCGTGTGCACGTGTGTGTGCTCGCGAATGTTCAGAAACAAAACAAAGAGAACATGCATAATTGCACTGTACAAATGACTTACTGCTTATGGCGGTGTGGATGATTGCACGTTAAATGAAGCCTGGCGGATGCATCTTCATTCACACACTCCATTCAACACACCGACCTGGATCAATAATTTTTTCTTCTTTTTGTCATCGAGAGTATCTTCACCATTGTCCCAGCAATAAGATATAATAAATGCATTGTATATGTACATGTCCATTGTTGCTGAACATTGCACGGGAGCGTCTCAATAGACTGCCGGCCTGGTTGGTTGGTTGGTTGGCTGGCAGTCGAAATGCGCAACAACAAAATGTCGCATAGCAATTATGATGTCTATGCCATCCATGAGCATTCATGTAAAACACTTCAAACATTTTCAATAGATAATTTAATAATTATTATTTTTAAATTATGCCGAAAAAATATACATAAAACTAGCAAATAAATATACGAATGGTAAAAAATAGATGAATGAATGAGTATAATAAACAGTTATAATTGATATTTATCAGCCGATAACGAAAATTGATGATGAACACAGGGCCGCACAACATTAATATTTACATATTTTATCTTGTCTAATAAATTAAACAATTTGAAGCATTAAACAAAAGTCACTCTCTTAGGACATTATTTTTTTTTCACGAAATATATCGCGGAATTAGTCAGTCTGAGAGCTCAGATAGTATAGGCGCCGTATTTTTCTTGTTGCTAATCAACCTGGTTCAAAACTTTGTTTTGAATTTCAGACCATCCTATATGACGATGTGTTGTTCAAATTCAAATGTGTGAATTCGTTAGTTCTGTCTATTTTATGACGAGGTAACAAAGAACTTCGTTATTATTTAACATCAGCACTCGCATCATCATCATCATCATCATTGTTGGACAGCAATAGAGGTAAATAATAAATAGATATTTATTCGTGGAAATGCAGACAGTGGTGGAAAAAAAGCAGTACATGTCATTCTGCTCCAACCACACGCACACACACGCACACAACATTTTGTAAAGGAAGATGCACAAAACACACATACACAAAATTATATAAATAAAAAGAGATGAAAGAACCAAATACACACACACACATATATACATTATGTAGAGAGAGAGAAAGAGAGAGAGAGAGGAAGAGAGAAAAAGGGAGAGAGAGAGAGACAACAAGAACACATAAATAAACACACAGCGTGAGTGTTGTCTGAAGAAGCATTGAAGTCTGCATAGAGCTCATTTGGATCAATTTGGCTGACACGTGTGTTCGTGGACGCCGTTATTAATGCTTTTTCTCGCTGCACGTGGTCTGTCGTTTTCTTTTCTTCGCTTTTTTAGTTTCTTTTATTAGCCCTTTCACTTTTTTTATATCAAAAAATTAAATGGCTTGTTACTTTTCAGAAAAATTATTTGTTGCTTACCATCAAATTGAAGTTCTGAAACATCAAAAACAAACAAAATGAAAAATAAACAGATATAGTCGTGAAAACAAACATAAACATGCAATAAAACATAAAACAATCATAAACAAACAAACAAACAAACGACATACGCTAAATTACTTAATAGCATGAAGAAGTATGAAGTATCGATCAGATATTGAAAGGCCGTAATGTATGTTAAGTGTTGACAGCTTAATGAGATATATAGGCATCTTGTGTGCTGCCATAGATTCCAATATAAGGTGCATGCGCTTAAGTAAATGTTTCATTACTGAACTAATGAATTAATTTCATAAATTCTAGCTTGTTTTATAAATATTTTTATATTTTATTCATTTTTTAATTTTGATTTAAGAGATCCTAAAAGACTGAAGATAATAATGTATGCATATATTAGTTTCAATATGATATTTCGATTAATTTTGTGTACAGTATCTGATTTGTTTTATATTTTAATAAGTACATATTGAAGCAGCTCGATGATAAAAAATGAGTATGATGAAGATGATGATACTACCGCAACATGTTTTAAACAAAAAAAAATTTCATTTCATTTTTTTATCTATGCTTTGTAATTGTCATAGTAACAACAATTCATCGCTGCTAGAAATATTTTAATTTTTAAAAAATAACACACGTAAGACTCAATTCATTAATATTCAAATAAAAATCATTCTTCATCATGATTGAAACATCAGAAGATTGTTCAACATATCCAATTGCCCAGGGCTTGTTGGCAGTCATTGAAAATGAAAAAAAGTGGACGTATGGTATCGATCGAAAGTTATTTCCTAACCAAACGTTTCACTTGACTAGTTGAAAACATTTCCAACGCAGATGGCTACATCAACACTGACCAGTGACCATTTCATTATTTTCAAGAAACATTATCATGCTGCACGCAACATTATCTTCGTAGTAAATATTGAAATCTCACTGACGTTGTGAGTAGTGGTTAAGGATGGAAATGTTGAACCTGTAGTGTAGATCAGTCATGAGCACTTTGTTACCAGTTAACAACTTTATAACGTTTTTCACCTGTCAGACTTCACTTCATAAAGCATGTTTAAATCAAATTCACTAAAATTGTTGAATATATTTTAAGAAATTAATAGATAAAATAAAGTTGCCAACCAGTAAGAGCTTTCTTACGACAGATCTACATCAATGGAATAAATTGTTAAACGAAAGAAGGATTTGTGTGGGCTCGTGATGTTTCCACAGGAATGACGCTGGATGAACACTGCTTATGAAATGTTTGCCCGGTCGATTGCTTTTTAATTAAATATATCTTGCCATGATCCATTTACACACAAAAAGGCGCACATTTTTTTATTGTGATAAGTCTGATAATTCAATTTATACGCTGCCTTTTTTGCCCTCCCATTCAATCTCTTGATTTGCACTGTTTTACTTAAAAAATTTCCAAACATTCTGTTTTTGTGTGTTTTTTACCTCTACAAACTAATACTGATAATTTTAATACAAATATGCCATCTAAGCTGAAGCAGTTCCGCAGAGTTTCTCACCGATTCATTCAACAGTTTACATGAGATTTCAGTCGCAGTTTTCATTCAAAATAAAAATTTATCCCGGCGAAGGCAGGTGGAGAGGATGAAATGGTGAGGAATCTCATGTCACCACAATGAAGAAAACATTCACTGTGCTATTATTACTTTCAAAAATGACATCGTCGATAAAAAAAACTTAGTCATCATTATCATCTGGCCTGGCACCGACATCAGAACAACAGAATGCATCTCAGCACAAAACACGACATGAAGTCACGTGCTCAGTAAGTTGTTGACATCTGCGTAATGCTTGTTTCTATCGTTGAGATGGTAGTGGTGCTGATCATGATGACCGACCAACAAGAGAATGATGACCATCAGAAAAATGATGACCATCAAAAGAATGATGACCGAGTAGCGTTTGAACATTTTGCATTTATTTGAATTTTTAAAACTATATAATCACATTAACATTGTAATTTCTTGGTTCCTAACCATGTTGGAATTTTTGAGTAAATGCGACGAAGGAGTTGTTTTGTTTCAGCTCAATAAAGATGATTATGAGGATGATGATGGTGATAAAGATGGTGCAGTTTGTTTCGTTCAAAATTATGTTGTGCATCGTGTTATCATCCAAGTCGAAATTTGATAAGTAAATTTTTTATACAAAAATTCATTTTAGACATAACATTTGCAATAAGGAAAACAAAACTGCACTCTTTAAAGCTTTTAAAAAAGATGACTGAAATATTTTGTTGCAATCTCGTTTATCTAATATTCGTATAAATGTTTTAAAACATGACAATATTTTATTATTTCGATTTGAAACCATGTAGGCAAGTTGGATTGCTGCGTAACAAAGAAAATGATAGAAACAAAAAGAAAGCAATGAAAATCCTTTCCAACAATAAAAGCAACAAACTAGAAAATAATGAAGACGTAACATGGAAAGTAACACGATCAGACAGACGGACAGCTCGGCAAACTCCGTTTGAAATGCGCGCAAATCTCATGAGACCAGACATAAATTTCACACAAGTTCACGCTCAATCAACTACAACATATTTCTTCTTCTTTGCAATTGTTGCTGCATGAATTTTGTCCGTTGATGCAATTTTAGTTGTGTTGGACGTAGACGTATTTGGCTGCTTGTTTCGTGTGTAACGATGCTCATTGTTTTCTTGATGTAATCAATGGTTGTTATTTTTAAAAGTTACAATGGTTAATGTAATGTTTTTTAAAGTTAACCGATTTTTTGTTGTTTTCATATGCTTAGTCTGTTTAAAACATCCAGTGGCACAATTAACACAAAGTTTAATTAGACATATTTTATATATTTAAATAAAAAATTAATTGAACTATAGAAATATAAAAATGAAACTATAACTGCTTTATAGTTAATAAAGAAATTCGTATGTGAGGAATTGTAAGCAGGGATTGCCTTGAAACTCCACTTAGTAACTTCAATGCAGAACCAGACATCTTCGACCGTTAGTAACATCATCCATCCCACACGTATAAATAAACCAAGTTATATATATTAAAATTTAAAAGATTAAAAAATGAAATGCGCAATAAACTAATAATATGCTAAAATAAACAGAAAATAATCGTAGGCCAGGCCTTTTTGATTTAGTTCTATTTAGTTAGGTTAACTTAAACGAATAGATTGAGAATGAGGTACATACCTCCATGGACACTTTTTCAAAATTATTTTATAATCTAAGACAGCCAGTGTAAAATAAGCAGCACAATTAAGAACTTCATTTAAATGACACAAAGTGAATTGAGATGACTTGGCCATGGTAAATCAAATCGATTTGGTAAACAATTCTAGATGAAAATCATTGAAATTTGAGGATGATGAAACTTTTAGTGACATTAGTAATTTGTAAAAAAAATATGCTAGAATCAGTAAGACATCTAAATTTGCAAGAGTTGCTTGCAAACTAAATAACTTAAAATGAAGACAAATCTCTATTTTGTTCTCCAATATTAACAATGCGATTGTTAATAAATGTTTGTTGAAAATTTAGCCACGTAAATAATTACTACGTATTTGTTGCCTTTTTTGTTTACCTTGTCGATTTGCAAAAAAGTCTAAAAAGAATAACTATGATAAAAATGAAATAACAATGGAAACAAGTGGTGAGCAAAAATAGTCATCTTTAGGTAAAGTTTATCAAAAGTTTTTTGATTTGAATCTACTCCCATTCGTTTTGTTTTACAAATCACGGGTAAAAACAGCACCACTTAACGTGTATTACTGTATATATTTATTTGTGCAATCATAACGTTTGAGAAGGCCTGCTTACAAATCACGAATGGATTTGAAACAGGCTAGAAAATTTGTAGCACAGTGCAATAGTGCATGCTATAAATAAAATTTGGTTGAAACTGGTAAACTGCATAAAGACATTAAGTGGATAGGGAGTGATTTAGAATGGTCACTTCATAATTGCTGACCTTTGCACTTTCAACAGAGGGTCATTTGGTCACATGACACATAAACCTCTTATTACATATAATTTACATATATACGCACACATCAAGCTGTTATAATGATTTTTGCGAAATTTTTATTTTAATTTAAGTTGTTGATGTTTTTTTTATCAATTCAACATTTCAAACTAAAAATTTATTTAATGATTTCTGGATATAGCTAGTTGTTCTTTTTTTAAAATTTGGACTAAACTTTCCAAAGTATTTGGCTTCAGCACAACGCAACACACTCTTAAATTATCCTCCTCCTCAACTACTCTTCATTCAATGATAACAAGAAACAACAGGAAGTTCAAACCACTCGAACATCCGATATGCCTCGTGTCCACGATGATGACCACCACTTACGAAGGGTCACTTCCATTGCCAGGCTGTTGTGCATAACATGCCGGAGATCTTGGAAAGTTATATTTATACCGAATATGAACAAACACGGTAGGGTTAGGGCAAGTGTGTGGCCAGTCCATTATAAAATCAAAATATCGTTAAATTATATAGGTGTATACAAATATATATTTTTATATGTGCGCGTCTGTGTGTGTGTTTTAGGCAGGGGCGTCATTTCAGATTTTGGTTGGGGGGGGCGAACTTATGTGGTCTATGACTTAGCATGTAACATATATATATATATATATATATATATATATATATATATATATATATATATATTATTAATAAAGATCACGGCGTTTCTTACAGTACTCAATCTATATGATAGTTTCTCGATTCTTCGAATAATTCTCCGATCTACCAAGCTTAACTTGTTAATGCTATTAACAAAATTCCTATTTACAGAAGATGTCATTATCTACATGTATGCATATAGTACTATTTCGACTACCTAGTCTCGTCAGTGCAACATTATAATATATATTATATAATTATATTATAATTATATATATTATATAATTATAATATTATAATTATAATAAATTTTACATTTTTAAAGTTTTTAAAATTACTAAATTTTATATCCTATATATATCCTTTTTAAAAAGAATTTAAAATTAACACTTTTATAATTTATAAATTTAATTTTTTTCTTTGGTAATTCACTTCCAGCTGACATCTTTCTACAATATAATCTAAACTTTTTATAAAATTTATTACAATATCCAGAAAAAATAGTTAGTTATTTGACTTACCAACTTGATGATTTAAAATATGTTTTATATCATTGGTAATTAATTTAATTTAATCATTTATTATTGATTAGTAGTTTGATCAAATTTATTAACGAAACTGAAACAATTTGTATTCAAACTCACCTTCACTCTTTATCTTAAAAATGATATAAATTGACTTCCAGCTAAATCAAAATAACATTAATCACAGCGAACGCGACAGTTAATATGGCGACAACACAACGATTTTTTTAAAAACAGAACATGAATTATTGTAGGAACATATGAAATAAATGGTATAGTGCATGACATATAAAAATTCAAAAAGCACAATATTTTGTATATATAATTATAATAAATTATATAATTTTATATTATTATTTTATAGCGTTTGCAATTTAAAATTTTGATTTCTTGGGGGGGGGGCAATTGCCCCTCCTGCCTCCCCCCAAATGATGCCTCTGGTTTTAGGTGGCTCAAGAAGTTAAACTTCGGGTCTCCTGTTTCTGTCTCACACAAATAAAAAACTTTTATTTTGTATATATATATGTATATATATGTGTGTGTGTGTGTGGTGTGTGTGGTATGTGTGTGTGTATACTTTGCATGACAAGCGAAGATTTTCTGGATTTTCTGTAGACTAGATTCCATGTTCTTTCTGTTCATTTTTTCTTGTAAATATTTGTAAGTAATATTATTAACATCATCCAAATTTCTTTTTAAACTTGATGCAAACTTAAAAAAAATAAAAAATTGCGTGTAAACTCTGTGTAAATTTAAAAAAATTAAATTCTGAATAAAATGGGCAGGTTGTGCGATAAAAAAAATATCAGAATGCTAGATGCTGCTGCAACATACTTAATCACTCAAAAATGAGAAACTGATTTTTTTGTTACAGAAAAAACGTTTAACAAAAGAAAAGATAAATAATTGGACCAATTACTGACCATTCAATTGCTGGCTAATTTCCCGTCCACTAATTTCAATGGTAGGTAGTCTTCCGCTCATTTTAAAATCTATACTTTCTTGAACAAATGAATATATGCCTAGTATATATACATATGTGTATGTGTGAATGTGTAGACCTAGACACACATATATGTATGTAATAAAGAACGTAGGCTGTCATGTTATATGCTATTTTTTAGAATAACCATTTCGTGACATCTTCAGTTTAAAATTATTTATACAAAGTGCAGATGGGTGATCAGTACTTTAATGGAAGTTCATGTAACATTTTTTTTTAGATACTTCTACCACTGGAATAGAAGTTATAAATAGAAAAATTTTGTCAAGTGTAGGTTAATTATATAAAAGCAAAAATATTTTGGCAATATATCTTTTAATTTTTAATAGTTGACAAATTTGAAGTCATTAGATTAGAGTCTAATGTCTAATTCTAATGAATAGACAAAGAAACAAAGAAGTTCATGTAACATTTTTTTTTAGATACTTCTACCACTGGAATAGAAGTTATAAATAGAAAAATTTTGTCAAGTGTAGGTTAATTATATAAAAGCAAAAATATTTTGGCAATATATCTTTTAATTTTTAATAGTTGACAAATTTGAAGTCATTAGATTAGAGTCTAATGTCTAATTCTAATGAATAGACAAAGAAACTTTTTTGTATTTTGCTCTCACGCTTCTATCAACAATTAGAAATTAACAATTCAAATAGAGATTATCAACATGATTTTATTATTTTTTTAAGTAAACTTTGTGAAAGACAATTTCAATTCATATTGAAAAATATGATTTTTTAGAACTGCAATTTTTGATTTTCCAAAATTTTGTCCTAAAATTAACTAAATGTTTAAAAATTTTGCAATGTAAACAAGTATTTTAAAATTAACTTGTATGAATCAATTCCAGAAGTTTAATATTAATTACAAACATTTAATTAACACTAAGCAGATATTAATAGACAAATAAATAAAAATGGCACTTGATAAACAAAAAATAGTGATGTACACAGGACATGTAAGAGTATAAATGTATTGAACGCCATCGTATTGTGAGACTCATTGAAACTCTCAGAGCAAACAAAACATATTAAGAAGAGGGTAGACGTCGACGCCGGGATGTTATTGAAAATCTCGGTGTGAGTAAATAAGAAGGAGAGACTGCATGACAAACAATACAACAAACATATTACGCAGGCCTTCTCATTCTTATTATGTATGCTCTGGTTCAGCATATCATTAGCTGGTTTGATATATCAAGTGTACGTTTAAACAAACACAAAACATGCAATCTGTTCGGTCAGACTCAAAATTCGTGATTTTCATTCAACTCATACAAACATTAAAAGTAATTGAATGAAAATTGTAAATGTTTTGTATAGAGTATTAAGATTATACAGAAAATTGTTACAAAAAATGGATGACTCATATATATATATATATATATATATATATATATATATATATATATATATATATATATATACATGTGGGTAATAGACCA